TATCATAAGCCAAAAGTGAACCAGTTCCAACAATATCTAAATTAAAAGACAAACTAAACTTATTGTTTCCAAATGAACACAAATAACCTAATTTGTCCAAATAAGAAACTGAAACCAAATTCCGTCTAAATGACGGCACAACAAAAGTGTCTTTCAAATCCAAATAAAAACTAGTACTCAATAACAATTTAAAATTCCCTATAGCTTCCACATCTACCGATTTGCCATCTCCAACATATATCCATCTTTTTTAGAATCAGTTGGCTTCCGGTAGCTTAGGCAACCTTTCATAGAGACAGTGATGTTAGTAGTTGCACCTAAGTCTAACCACCAAGTGTTACTTGGTACTGACGCTAAATTGACTTCAGAACAGACCAAAGTAGGAAACATACTTTTGAGGATTGAAACAAAATTTAAATTGACGAGATACAAAAGAAATTGTAGCTGAATTTAGAATACGAGAAATAAACTAATTATGCTCACATTATATAAAAATAAATAATTATAAATATATATTCAAATAATGGTTTAACCCATCTCAAGACACCCAATGCACTATCAATATCAAGTCTTTGGACAAGTAATATTAACTGCTAGAGGTATCTTGTTGTAATAATCAAACATTGACAATAAGGCACGTTTAACAACAAATCAGTCTTTGGATTGATTTATCATCGACAAAGCAAATCCTTATAATTATCACATGTTTATCATTACAAGTGTATATGCAATTCGGCTAAATATTAATCTTCCTTTGGGCCGACTAATACTCGCATGAATATACACAAACACTAACATTCAATATTTTCATGAACTGCCTAATTCAAGAGAGGTTACTTTGGTGACTTTTTGACTCAATTTGCTCACCAAAAATATTAAACTACCAAAAAAATTGAATATTTTATTTATATAACAAAACCAAATATTTAATATTTGCAAACTAATTCAAAAGATAATCAACTCATTAGAATTTCACTAAGGATGAAGACCTCCCTAGAATCCCATTAGGGAGGAACACCTCCTTTGAACAAATCAAAGGATGAAAAGCACCTCCTTTTCAACTAATACATAAAGGATGAGCATCTCCCTAAAATCACACTAGGGATGAAATAGATATAGATATGACCCTCTTTAACACACTACTCTAAACCGTAAAAGGGGATTAAACAGTAATCACTCAAACCCTAAACAGGGAATTTAACATCAACTTCCCTTAAATCCCTAGAGGATAAAAGCAATAAAATAATAACAGCCACACCTGTGGAAACATTAACTAGTTACCTAAGATCCTCTGTGTTGGGAACTTCCCAAACACCACCCCTAATTTCAAACCCATCCATATCCACCATGAAAAGAAAACAAAAACAAAAGATTCAAAGAGAACAGAGAACCCAATACAAGAAAGATTGAAATTGAAACACTATTTTTTTCTCAGTAAAACTTGAAACTTAAACTGAAACAAAAGGGAAAAACGAAGAAGAAGAAGAATCCATAGTTTCCTCCACGGTTCCATCAGCGAGTAGAGTTAGATTGAAGATGTTACCCCCAAATTTAAATTTTAGGTTTCACGGTAATTGGGATTTTATAAATTAAATAGAACCTGAATTTTTAATTATTTCCTAAGACAGACATGAATCAAGTATGGGCGGCTCTGATACCAATTGTTGGAAAACTAATAATTATAATCCTGATTTTGATTCTAACTATCAAACATAAATGTAATCCCATACTGATAAACATGTTGTAAACTGAATGTGAAGCGTACCTGAATTAGCCATAATGATGATGTCTTTGTAGAGCACTATATTGATATTATGGTCTTCCACCTGAAGTGCACCTGTATTTCCTTCTTGATTTTCTCTCTTGATGGGGATAGAAAGAAAGGAACGAGAATGAAACTTATATTCTGTCTACATGCTCCTAGAAGGGGACCATGACCCCTTAAAATAACCAGAATTAGGTTAATTACTTAAGTTTTAGTATTTCTAATTTGACCCCTCATCAAATTAGAAATTGTTCTATGGTCTCTACACAATTTTATTTTCATAACATATGTCTTTAGCCAAATTTTTTAATTTAGACAGATCACTTTATTATTTGGCTTAATAAATAATTACCCTATCATATTTAAATTATGTATCATATATATACATGCCCCAAATTTTGCCAACAGTTTAAAGCTGCCTCATGTCTTACACGTTTTTAACTTCTTGCTCAAGTGACTTAGATTTCATTTAATGTGAATGACAATAATGAATCAAGTCTTTACTTCCAGTGTTCACTTCAAATTACTCATTTTCCACTTAAGAGAGTGTTTGTGATAAGTCTTAATCTGTCATAAAATATATTTAATAATACAAATTTATATTTGTGATGGCATTTGTGATGAAACTATCAATGACAAATATTTTCCACATAAAACGCGAGGTGACTAGCTCAAACGCCTAATGATTAAGTGTGACCATTATCTCACTTAATATGACCATGTTAATAATTAATAACCTCAACATAGCAAATATTGCTTAATTGAGAATAAAAACCCGCTTCAAAATTTTCTATTTAGTGTCTCATGTCTTGCTTAAGTATTTTTTAACTCCTAGTTTAAGTCACTTAAGTTTTACTTTATGCAAATGATGATAATAAGTTAAGTTTTGGTGTTTAATAAGTTACTCGTTTTTCGCTTAAGCCAATGTCTATGACAAATCTTAATCTATTATAAAATATGTAACTAATAATACAAGTTTAAATTTACAACGATAATTACGATGAAATCATCATTGACAAATATTTTCTTTGTAAAATATCATCTCTAAATTAAGCACAAATTTTGCGACAATAAATTTAAAGACAATATATTATATTTTCAATTTTCATTTTCAACCTATTCAACTCAAAATTTTCAAAATTTTCTTTGTATCTTTCTTTAACAACTTTTTTTCTTAGAAAATTTCAACCTAACTCTATTTAATTCTATTCATTTAATATCCTTATATTTAAGGCTATTCAGTAAAGAAATATAGTTTATATCTGTATAACAGTTTGTGATATACTTTTGTCTCTTAAAAAAAAAATAAAAGGCTTTTAAGAAACTTTTCTAATAATGCATGACAAATTTAACCCTTTTTTTATAACAAGATAAGCAACACAAATAAAAAATTAATTAAAAAGAAACACAAAATAAAAAGTTCACTTATTAATGTACATATATATATATATATATATATATATATATATATATATATATATATATATAAGTTTCAATATGAAATAATATTTATTCCGATAATATAGATTAAGCTACATTGTATTTGAGAGAGAAAAATATAAATAAATAAATTATGAGGATTAAATTAATATTTTAAAAAACATGTGTAAATTAAAATTGTAAATAAAAGGAACGTATTTATGTTATGAGTAAGATATGATTCAATTGAAAATATAAATTTATCTTCTTTTCTTTTTCTAAGTTCAAACGAAAACAAAAATGGAGTATAATCTCGGTGAATCGTAGTGATGCATATTTTATTCTTATTATTATTTTTTATTAACGATATTTGAATGTAACATAATTCCTTAAAATTATGGTAGGTTGTATTTAGATTTTTTTTTCCACATAGAAAACATATTCTATCTTCTAATATTTACAATGAGAAAAATAAGAGTATTAAATAGCTATGTAAAACCTCACGATAATTTTATATTAATGGAAACAATTTTCTAATGAAATAAGAGTATATCTATCACTGACATTATAAATTTTCGAGGTTAGGGTTAAAATTAGAGGCAGTGCTACGTAATTTGCTCTGATATTTATAAGTATTGGAGTAAAATGTATTAATTTTTTCATACACTAGCATTATTTAACAAATAAATATTAGTTTTTGAATTACTGTCCTAATAAAATATTATTTGTACACGCAATTAAAAATCAACTTTGATAATTATGCTTAGAGAAATTAAAATTTAGTAATTCTGTCCACCAATCATGATAGAATTATATATCTTAATTAATATGTGTCGGTGAGTGCATCAAACCTCATTATAATACGTTGATAAAGAACTTTAATTTAAACAAATTTTAAAACAAAAAAATATATAAAAAAATTGCAATATTTTATATTCAATAATTTTGATTTCTGCATAAAAGTTGCTAAAGTGGTTCCCTACGTTATAACTTTGTCACAATAATTTAGCCTTTTAAATTATCATCTCTCTAAATCTTTTAACATTTCTCTCTCTGAAATATTTAATAAAAAAATGCTAAAAAGGATAGTAAATTCTAAAAACTTATTGACATCCCAATTTCTAGAAGTCAAATTTTATTCAAAATGATCTTAGAAAATTAAAGTCAATATTAAGAGAAAAGAGAAAGGTCAAAATAAAGTTGGAAAATGAAAAGAAAATATAGAAGAGTGCAATTTACTGTGCTTGGGACTGAATTTGGATTTCTGACAATATTTTCTTTACATTTTCTCTCAAAATCTAAAGACATTGAATACATGCATCACATTTTTTATATATCATTTATGACCATTGCTATTTTGCACGAAAAACAAATAGAAACTTGGATGATTAATTTTTATAAAACAAATAATAATTTGAAAATGAAAACAATTTGGAATGCAAAATTTGACCGCAAACATAGTTTGTGTGAAAATGACCAAAATAATTTTCATACTAAGCAACATTTCTCATATTTTTTATTGAGCACTATCTAAACATATGTGATACTAACCAATCACACTCGGATTTCCAACTTATTGCACTTTAACAAATGGGAAAATTTGAACTTATTTTTTTAGATTTAAAATCTATAGATAAAAAGCAATTAGATGAAACAATTCAGCTAATGCAATTGGTTATATTCTCCTTTTGATATATATAAACAAATGAATCGAATTTAACTTTAACATTAACCTAGAGGTTGAATCATAGATTAAGGACACCTACTTCCTTAGGGTAACTCTGTTTTTGATATAGGGAACATCCTTTTACTTTACATGAAAAAATATGGCATCGGATTTGGAGAGGAAGTGCCATGTGGTGAGCTCAGATATCTGCACATGGCTTCTCTTATTTCTAGCCTTGAAACAGTAATTAAATAATCAAATTCTGGGTCTAACTGGATCAATTTTTCAGGAGAATCAGTGACAGGGTAAGCCAATGAACTGTTGTGGGAATAAAAAAACACTTTTTGGTTTTTTTAATTCTGTGCAGCACTTGGGAACTGTAAATCTATCTTAAGGTAAGCCACTTGCCAGTACTAGGCCTTGTTAAAGATAAAAAATACAATTGTTTAGTTTCATCTTTTCCTTCTGATTTTGAAATCTGGTTTTATTGTCACTTTTTAATTTTGCTTAGGATGTCAACAACATATTCCACCGTGAAGAGTGTACATGAAACTTCCTCTAGAAAACCCTTAAAGCCTTGGTTCATCCCTCAGTGAAAATTTCTCTTTCTGGTAGTTAAATCTTAATCTCAAGAGAATATGCATCTCAATCACTGAAGTAATTGCCAGTGTTTTTGTTTTAGTATATGCTGTCAGAAATGTTCCTTCTAAGTAAAAAGTCCTCTTTGCTATTTCACTAAATATATATTTATTTATTTATTCTTCTCTCTTCATCTGCTTTTTCTCCTTTGATAATAACACTTTTGTGGGGGTCATACTCATAGCTAATATAGCCTTTTTGAAGTTGATGGGGTGGTGGAAAAGCAAAGTAGCATACCAAATGCTTTCATGTTTTTGCATATTCAGGAATTTCACACCTTCATGGAGGATGGCTCCTCTCACTCTGCTGCTGTTTTTTTCCAGTTACAAACTGGTTGGATTCATGTTCCTCTCTCTCCTCTTCACATCTCTAGCAGTGTTTCTGTCCACTGTTGTCTTCATGTGGAAGCACCAGGCAGTGGCAGATGATGAATTGGTTGAAGGAAGTGGTTTCAGTTTGAGTTTCAGTAGTGCTTCTTCTGAGGAGAAGAAGAAACCAAATGGAAGGGAAAGTGTTGCACCGACCCCAATGCACAAGCATGAAACTGTGAGAGTGAGAGAAGCAAAGGAAAGTGGAGAAGAAATAGAAGAAGTTAGTGACGTAGTTGATGATGCCCCTTCAGAGAGTGAATGCCAAGAAATGTTTTTGTCCACTTCTGAGGAGTATGAAGTAGATCACACACCTGAGTGCTCAGATGGGACAATTTCTGATGAGGACAGCCTCATAGAGATTGCACTTCCAAGCGGACACTTTGTGGGGCATAATCAGAGAGAAGACTCCAACAAGTACAACAACAACAACAACTGCTGCAGTTTGCAACAGAAGAAGAGGGGGTTATCAGCTCATGAGGCCCTTTTCAACCAACAAAGCCTCATGGAATTCTTGGCAGAGTTCAATGAAGAAGAAAACCTAATAGAGATTGACCTTGCCATGGGTTCTATCAAGTGCTCAAGGTTTGAAATAGAAGCATAATCAAACTGAAATGTTAATTTGTTTCATCATCATGATCATGATATATAGATATATATCTGTTGCCAAAGTTTTTTTCATCCACCTAATTCTTATATCTGGTTGGATTATTTGGGATGTAATTACTTTGTGATCTTAATGTGTTGTGTTAGGCTTGTGCCACAGCAGTGTGAAAAAGCTTCTGCTGTGCCTCAAGCTTTGGATACTCATTAAAGTGATTGTATTATGACCCTTCTTTTTGACTTCTTAATGCTCATAACAAAAATCAATATGAATTAAAGTTGGAGAAAGTTGGACCCAGTTAACCAAAACTCCACTCTCTAGCCAGCAATTGCTTTTTCTTTTCACTCCTCATCAGTCATCATCCATTCTTGGACTGTTATCTTGCTTCATTAAAAGACTAACACCGAATTTATGTGGAAAAAAAAAAATTAATCCTAGGAGTGGATAATCGTCTCATAATAACAGCTTTTCTTTATAAATTAAAGTAATCTTATTGATAATAATTCCTTCTATACTACAATTTTCATAATATATATATATATATATATATATATATATATATATATATATATATATTATTTTTAATTTATTTTTAAAAATATAAATTTATGTCGGGACCATGTATATATTAATCAATAATCTTATTCATGATTTAGGAAAACAAAAAATTGAAGAAATTATACCAGTGAGTTTTTTTTTTTTTTTAAGTTAGTTTATGTATAAATTATTTTAATCAGAATGAATTGATTCTTTTTATTTTTATTTTAATTTTGTAAAAGTAAAAAAAAAAAAACATTTAAATATGTCCTTGATGAAATATGATCTTATAGGAATATAGGTTTCTCTTGAAGCCTCAAACAAAATTTGCTGTATATGATGCAGAAATAGTCACGCCCACATAATGTAAGATAGAAGATAGTTAAATGTGAGTTAGAAATGGCTAAAAAATATTCATCTAAGTTATTTGTGTAGTAATTTAAGTTTGATAATTAGTTGGTGGTGTTAAAAGTTTTGTATAGATTTTGGTAGGTTACCATCAATGAGATGATATTTTTGCCCTGTAATAACGGACTAATAAAGTAAACTTAACTTCAATTAATAATATGATTAATTCATAATAAATATTATTATAATTTAAAGTAATTAATAATTAATGTGATTAGGTTTTTCGTCCAACTAAAATGATTTTCAATTGTTCTCAAGATTTATTTTTATTTAAAATTAATTTAAATGAGAGTAGTATGTTATTAAAATGGGCGATCCATCCAAACCTGACATGTCAAGTGAAAAAATTAGATAGTCTATCCTAAATTAATTTTGAAATGAATAAAAAATTTTAGTTTTGGTTATATGTTAGATTAATTGACCAATTTTGACCTAATTGAATTATCTAAAAAAACTACTAACATATCTATACAAAATCAATTAATAAAAAATATTTAAATAAAAATTAAAAATAAAATATATTTTAAAATTTTAAATTTTATTAATGAAATTGATTTTTGTTTAAAATATAATAATTTAATATATAAATTATAAGAAAATAAATTTATTTATTCTAAAATAAGAATTAAAAACTTATTCTTTATTATTATTATTTATTTTTAATAATTTATTAATTTAAAATAATAATTAATCTTAATAATCAAATTTTGAAACAAGTAATTATTAGATATTTATTCTAATATTTATTTTTAGAATACGTGAATCTAATTAAATTATGATACATATATATTTTTTAATAAAATATTATTATTTTTATTTTTATTTTTAAAATAATTATTATTCTCTAAAATATTTGACTCATAAATATAAGGTTAATCTGATTTATGTTATGTAGGTCATTACCTAAATAGATCTGATTTAATTTAAATTATAAATTTTTTTCTAGCACAATTTATTTTTCAAGTTTTTATTAGGTTGACTTTTCATATTAAACTTATTTTGACAACATATAATAGATAAATAGAAAAAAAACTTTTCTTTTTAGTTTCAATAGATTGTGTAACACAAACAGTTTTCATTCTATTTTTCAATAGGTAAATAATATTACTGTTAGTTGTTTTGGTATAATTTTTTTAGTTTGGTATGTATAACATTCAGTTTTTTCAATTGCTATTATTTATCCTTAATTAGTGGCTATTGTTTGGTGATAATAGTTACTTTAAAGCTTACTTTTTAGTGATACTTCTTGTTGTACATTTTAGAAAATCTTTATATGATATTTTATGTTTTTAAAAAGTTTATTTTGAATATTTTAAATTAAACCGTTAAAAAGTTATGGACGTCTTTATTAATAAAATCTTTTAAAAAAATCAATTTTGTATTTTATAATTTTAAAAGGATTAGTCGTCTTTTTAACTAAAATATTAAATAAGTTGATGAGTATGTCTAACCCAAATAAACCATTTTAAAAACATAATATACATGAGATTTTTAAAATTTAATAGGTTAAAATATAAAAATATTAAAACACAAAGCATAAAAAGTAACATTACAATAATATTTTTTTTATATAAATAAACTTGCATTAATAAAGTAGTGTATATATAAAAAAAATTTATCTTAGAACGATCTATTCCTTCTAATTTGAAATTCAAAATATAACTATCACTTGTCAATATATCTTGAACTATTAGTTATTTCTTCTTCTCCTCAGCCAACCACTACTTTTATATCAATAACATAATCATAACCGTAAAATCTAATAAATAAGAAAACAAATAAAAGTTAACCATTCAAGATAATAACTTACCTATTTATATATTATACATTAAATACAACATATTTTATTTTCATTTGATCGATGTCGTACTCGATCAAATAATTAAAACAGATAAATGTAGTACTAGGAAGCTTTCCTAGGTCGTCTCCCAAAGACCACAAATTTCTATCAAAGCTTATCAATTTTTAGTAACAAAAAATTAAAAGGGGAGTTTTTCAAAATTAAAATATTAGGTGAAACAGAACAAAAGCAAATTATAAAAATGCGGATTAAAAACAGATTAAAATGCAATTGATTTTCTGATTCTAATGCGAGTGTCACTTATCCTAGATTACGAAATTAATTCGAAATTAACCAACTAAGCGAAGATAAATCCCAAATTATATTCTAATCCAAAATTAATCAACTAAGCGAAGATTAATCTCAAATTAGCTTTAACACTTGTTCCAATATGAAATTAACCAACTAAGCGAAGATTAATCCCAAATTTTCCTTAACCCTTATTCCAACATGAAATTAACCAACTAAGCGAAGATTAACCCCAAATTATCCTTATACAGTTAAGCATTGCGTACATCACATAATCTCATCTCTAACACAGAATTAAGCAAACTGTGATATTAGTTTCGGTTTATTAAGCATAAACAGATTATAATTCAACACTGAGATTAGAAGATGAAGAGTTAAGAGAACAAACAAAATGAAATTGAAGAACAAAAAATCAAAGATATACTTGCATTCTTCTCAGAAAATCAATACAAAGATTTAGCTATCCATGGAAAGTTGAAAACGCAATAGAAGAAACATAATTAAAATTGAAACAAGAATTTAAAAATAATGACAGAAGAGTAAACAAACTTGAATATAAATTGCTGAAGATGAAAGGTGGAAGTGTGGTGGCTGCGTAGTCCTTGTGTGTCCTGTATCTTCCCATGTGTGATGTGCCTCTCTTATATAAATAACCCTAACCCTAATCTTTATTGAGGTTTGGGCTCAACTGGTCCATGAAACACATCATAACACTAGTGCAAAAAGGGGCTTTTACGTCAGGTATTTAGGGCTTTTTACGTCGTATTTAAGTCTGACGTTAAAGTGGGAGACGTAAATTTACGTCAGACCCTTTTGCCCGACGTAGATTTACGTCAGTTATCCAGATCCGACGTAGATTTACGTCAGTTATCCAGATCCGACGTAGATTTACACTAAACAAACGTAAAAACCTTTTCAATTTAAAAAAAAATAGAAAATTTACGTCGCATATGGTATACGCGACGTAAATTTACGTCGCATATACCAATACGCGACGTAAATTTACGTCGCATATGGTATATGCGACGTAAATTTATTGTTTTTTTTTAAATTGGATTTATTTATTCTGTTTTACGACTAAAACCTGCAAATATTACAACCAGACAGTCCAGATGTTTAGTTTTCTTTAGCTAGTAAATTAAAAATATAATATTATATAATTCAAACTACATAATAAAACAATATAATACAAACATACAAACTAAAAAATCTATTACAAACTAAGCTACCTATACAAACTAAGCTACCTATACAAACTAAGCTAAACTACATAATACACACAATATAATATGAACAAGAACTTAAAAAATAATGTACTAGAATTGTTGAACAAAAAATTTTGCCCATTGTTCTCTAATTTCGTAATCTCGGATTCTGGTAATGGAGATGGATCTTGAAATACCTGAAACATGAATTTGACTCTTGTAAGCATGCAACATGAATAAAGTTAAATAAACTTAACTAATGTTAAAAGTAATTACCTCCAGTCCAAGAATCAATTAAACCCGCACAAACTATGACTCTCATCCAATACATTACATAATAACCACATTCAAACGAGTCAGTTTGCTTATTACACTGAAATGATGAAAAAAACATAATATTATTTTCAAAATTGAAATACAAACAATAATTATGGTATTCACTTATATAAATAAGTTTCTAACCTTAGGATAAATGAACTGCAAAGTCTTTGTTCTAGGTTTTCCACTTAGAACATTAGTTCCAGACACGATTCTAAGTGAAAAAAGTCATATATTATTCAATATGTATTCACAATTTAAAAACATAATTAATGAATAAAAGATAAAGTTACCCTTGTAATAAGCTTTTCATTTCTTGACTCGGTTTCCGATGTAATGAACAAAACCACACCACGAGTGTAATCCCGGGCATGATTACAATTAACTGCCAATGGGACCTACATTGTATGACATAAAAATTAGTTACAAAAATATAAATTAAAATACAAATTAAAATACTAACCCTTCAATGTATGGAGCCAAATATACATGTCTTCTTGAGTCACTCATCCATGTTTGCATATATTGTTGGATTCCAACCTTTGTATTTCCAGATTTTTGGATGGATTGAGGCTCAATAAATCCGTATACTTCGGATTTTTCTTGTTCCACACTCAAATTGTCAAGGTACCTAAAACAATTAATTATAAGTT